AAGACCAATGAGGCCTTTAGATTTCCTCCCTCTCTATTTCCCTCAGGGGTCTTTTTGCTAATTGCCTCCCAACGGCGGGTTTCAGACATGGATATTTACAGGTTTATATGTAACTCATTCTAGTTCTATGAGTCAGAGTTCAGAGGACCCTTCCTATTATTTCCTGCCCTTTCTTTCCTCCTCCCCCCCCTCCTCCCCTTCTCCTCTTCCCTCCCTTCCCTTCTTCCCAAGATCTATGCTGTACTTTATTTTTCTTTTTTTTTTTTTTTCTATTCTCCATGCCCCCCTTCTACATTTGCATGAGACATGGTGGGAGTAGATACAGCCAGGTGTTAATGCAGGTCGTTTAACTCCCTACTCCGTCACTCAATGGCAAGCGATACATGCTTGTGATATTTGTATATCTTCTGTCATGTCTAACCAACAATAACTGTTAGTTTTCTGCGTTATATGTAACACTGTGCAAATGATGATACTGTTTTCTTTGTTTGTTGACCTAAAACCCAATAAATATTTCTTTAAAAAAAATAAATAAATAAAAAAAGACTGAAATTTAAAAAAAAATTATCTTGGTTTCTTTTGTAAAATTTTGCAAACAGGTAATTTTTCTCCTTTGCTGATATGCACTGATGTGGCTGCACCTATGGGCACTGATATACAGCACGGATAGGCTGCACTAATGGGCAGTGATGAGTAGGCATTGATGAGGCTGCCCTTGTATGCAGCACTGATAGGCAGCACTGAAAATCATAGGCAACTCTGATGGCCACTGACTGGCAACACTGATGGCCACTGTTGAGACTGCACTGATGTCCCCTTGGAGCTGCACTGATGTCCTTTCACAGTTGCCAGTTTCTAGCTCTCTTCTCCTCACTCTGTGACAGTGTGAGGAAACTGCAGCCAATAACCGGCAACTGTCATTGGACTCAGCTGATCACGTGGTAAAGGGTTGTTGCAATATGTCCTTTACTGTGATCTGTGATCAGCTGTGTCCGACGGTAGGGATTGGAAGGAGGGATCGCAGCAGCTAGCGGGGACATGCTATTTTAAAATGTATCTAAATTGATTAAGGAGTTTATAGGTACATAAACTCAGTATAAAAATGTAAAAACAATTGTTGCTTTATTGACATACCATATCTAAAATATATTACCTAATTAAGAATGGTAATATGCATTGCACATATAGTCACAGCATTATTCCCACAGAGTATAAAAATAGAGTTTCCTATTGGAGGTATTGAGAAGATGGTAGACACAATCCACTTCCTTCAAAGTGAGCGGGATTATATTGGCTGTTGGATGGAGACTATATGTGGGATGCATATTACTATTCTTAATTACGTAATATATTTTAGATATAGTATGTTAATAGAGCAACAATTGTTTTTACATTTTTGTACTGAGTCTATGTGCCTACAAAGTCCTTAATCAATTAGGTACATTTTGATCCTCTAATCGGGATGCGGCACCACGATATTCTCTTGCTGTGACCTTCAGCCACCTGAATATTTTTAATTTGCCCTTGACATGCTATTTTACATACCCAGAAGTGTGGAGGAGGATCTTTGCAAGGTGCTCTGCTACAGAAAAAAGTTTCAGCAAATGGACAACCAGACACGTAAGTATAAAGCTGTTGTTTGTTCTATAATTTTTTGTGTGTGGGGGGGAGGGGTTATGAGAAATGACCCTTTCAAAACAGGATATTGAGCCAAACTTGCAGGTAAATAAGAGAACCAGAAGGGAAGAGTGGGTTTGATAATAAAGTTGGTAGTGCCTTCACCCAGGACAAGGTATTCCTTTTCTGGAAAATTAACCAGTAATCTAATCCAAGTAATTGGGAGCAGAGCAACTACTGCAACCAGCATATAACTTTAACCATGATTTTCTAAAAGCAAAAAACGCAAATACACTTGCAAAGGGCACAGTCTCATTATCCCCAGAATTTAGCATATGGGGCAAAGCTCTGCTGATTTCCATCATCCAATCATGTGCAAGAAAAATGCAGTTTTTTTTCTTTTCAAATTGACAGCTTGGATATTCTTTACAAAGTGAAGCTTTACCACATTTACATTTACGAAGGAAACTAGATGCAACTGTACTTGCAAAGTGCACAGTCTATTTGCCTTAAGTAAATCTACCTCCCTAAATATATAGGTACACACCAGTATGGAAATAATACAAGCTTTATATAAAACAAGATTAACTAGAAAAGCTACAATATCTGGGGAAATTGTGTGAAGTGTTCTTGCCTCCACCAGTAGTCTACAACTGGAGTGAACGTAGTAACTGGGTGGAGTGGCTTGAGTAACTGTTGTGTAGTTGGAGTGGCTGGAGTAACTGTGAAAAAGTTGGACTGAAACTATCAGGACTATGGCTTAGCCATGGACATTTTTAGTGGCAGCAGGGATAGCTGAACGTTTTGATATAAGATTTGTGTAGGTGGGCTTGAAAATGAGGGAGTGATGGCAGTTTAGAAATCATGTCCTGATTTTTCAGCTCACACTCTTGCTTTTGTCAGCTCCCACTCTAGTTTTGAACATTCCGCAATTCATTCCTATGGGACCAATTTCACCACAAAAACGCAGATATTTCGTGAACCATTCGGCAAAACGTTCCACAAAGTAGTAGTACACCAATCGGGAACAATCCGCACGTTTCGGTATATTACTGTCTATGTAGTGTAAAAACTGTGGGAGGAGTTAGGGTGGTAAATTTGGCTATAATAATAAGAATAAATATGTGAGATAACAGTAAGTGGTCTTACCATGCAAGAACACTTAATAATAGCACATACAGCACATGTACAAACATGGATTATCAGCAAAGGGCCCAAAAACAGTCCTGGTGGAATTGTGCAACTATACCTGGGTGTAAATAGAGGTACCTCCAGATGAATGTTGCAGCAAAGTCCAGTATCAGGGCCCCTGACAATGATAACAATGTGGTGTCTGCCTTTGTGTCAGAGACCTGAAGACAAGATCAGCAGTGATGGGGAGACCCTCCAGTCAATGTCCATCCAGCCTGGAATGCAGCTCTGGACTCTGGAACTCAGACTCAGCCTATCTACTCCATGCTTAGTCCCTGTAGTGTCTAATCTGTCATGCAGCTGGACCTCTAACTACCAGAAGTAGCGGGCAAATATCTAACCTAGCTCTAGTCTAATCTGGTTATCGAGCCCTAAGCTAAAACTAGCTATCAGGAGTGGACTGCCAACTCATGTGGCCCCGGGCAATAGGGGATCATGGGGCCCCTGTGTCCTTGCCCAAACTCAAAAAAGCCTATGAAAAAAGGTACCAGAGGCATCTTATGGGGCTCCCTACTGACCCCGGGCCCTCGGGCAGTGCCTGAGTTTCCAAATGGTCAGTCCGCCCCTGCTAGCTATAGAATCCCAGACCAGAAGGGACAGGGTTAACTATAATAACAGGAGATGCATATACACTCCATTGCAATAAACAGGTTCACCTCCAATACACTGGAAGGTGACCACTACATACATATAATGGCACACTTAGCTATCTGGCACTAGGCACTTGAGATAATAACAATAGTATTGTGGTACGTCTGTTACAAGGATTTAAATACACACTCAAGAAGCTATGGGCAGCTGCATTTACACTATTAGAACATGAGACTATTGCTTAATAGTATCTGGCTCTGGTCTGAGTGAAATATTTGCAGCTCCTGTATGCAGACAAGTGATTTCTAAAAACCTCTCTATCTGCTTCCTTCTTCTGGGGTTTCAAAGCAAGCCTCCCAGGGACAGGAAGTGCATAGTTGCCAACAGTCACAGATTCCCCGGGACTCTCATGGATTTTTTACATTTGTCATGGACAGGCTTTGCTCCGGGCTGAATCACAGAAAATATTCTTTGTCACGGACAGGTTTTATTTTGTCATAGACCGCCGGCCACGGCAGTTGGGGTATCTAGTACTGCAGTGTGTTAACTATATTGTTCCCCCTCACTTCCTGTGATCCTCTGCCCTCCCCCTGCCAGGGACTGCCAATCGGTGAGAGACAGGAAATCATGTGGCTGTTTCTCCCATGCTGATTGGTTGTTACTGTGGGGCGGGGGGTGGCCAGCCCAGGGGTAATCACGCCAGCCCGCCCCAGCCTCCTCATGTGCAAAACAGAGGAAGCTGCTGCAGAGAGGACTTAGGACCAAGCCCAGGATGCACACCCGGACCACCAATGATGGATACACTGCCAGAGGGGCTGCGGACCAGCCAGATGCCGCTCAATAGTGTAGCAGAGGTGAGTTGTGAGAGAGAGAGTTATGTGTGTGTGTGCGGTGCGTGTGTTGTAGAGTTTAGTTTTATTGTTATTTATGGTGGAGCATCTGTGATATTTAGTGGTGGAGCATCTGTGATATTTATGGTGGAGCATCCTGTGATATTTATGGTAGAGCATCCTGTGATATTTATGGTGGAGCATCCTGTGATATTTATGGTGGAGCATACTGTGATATTTATGGTAGAGCTTCTGTGATATTTATGGTAGAGTATACTGTGATATTTATGGTGGAGCATCTGTGATATTTATGGTGGAGCATCCTGTGATATTTATGGTGGAGCATCTGTGATATTTATGGTGGAGCATCCTGTGATATATATGGTGGAGCATCTGTGATATTTATGGTGGAGCATCTGTTATATTTATGGTGGAGCATCCTGTGATATTTATGGTGGAGCATCTGTGATATTTATGGTGGAGCATCTGTGATATTTATGGTGGAGCATCCTGTGATATATATGGTGGAGCATCTTTGATATTTATGGTGGAGCATCTGTGATATTTATGGTGGAGCATCCTGTGATATTTATGGTGGAGCATCCTGTGATATTTATGGTGGAGCATCCTGTGATATTTATGGTGGAGCATCCTGTGATATTTATGGTGGAGCATCCTGTGATATTTATGGTGGAGCATCTGTGATATTTATGGTGGAGCATACTGTACTTTGACCATCCATTGTGCCATGTCTGCAGTCTCTGACCATCTCCTGTACTGTGTCCGCAGTCTGTGGTCATCTCCTGTACTGTGTCCGCAGTCTCTGGTCATCCCTGTACTATGTCCGCAGTCTCTGGTCATCTCCTGTACTATGTCCGCAGTCTCTGACCATCTCCTGTACTGTGTCCGCAGTCTCTGATCATCTCCTGTACTGTGTCCGCAGTCTCTGGTCATCTCCTGTACTATGTCCGCAGTCTCTGGTCATCTCCTGTACTGTGTCTGCAGTCTCTGACCATCTCCTGTACTATGTCTGCAGTCTCTGGTCATCTCCTGTACTATGTCTGCAGTCTCTGACCATCTCCTGTACTGTGTCCGCAGTCTGTGGTCATCCCCTGTACTATGTCCGCAGTCTCTGGTCATCTCCTGTACTATGTCCGCAGTCTCTGACCATCTCCTGTACTGTGTCCGCAGTCTCTGGTCATCTCCTGTACTGTGTCCGCAGTCTCTGGTCATCTCCTGTACTATGTCCGCAGTCTCTGGTCATCTCCTGTACTGTGTCCGCAGTCTCTGGTCATCTCCTGTACTGTGTCCGCAGTCTCTGGTCATCTCTGTGCTATGTCCGCAGTCTCTGGTCATCTCCTGTACTGTGTCCGCAGTCTCTGGTCATCTCCTGTACTGTGTCCGCAGTCTCTGGTCATCCCCTGTACTGTGTCCGCAGTCTCTGGTCATCCCCTGTACTGTGTCCGCAGTCTCTGGTCATCTCCTGTACTATGTCCGCAGTCTCTGGTTATCTCCTGTACTATGTCTGCAGTCTCTGGTCATCTGTACTGTGTCTGCAGTCTCTGGTCATCTCCTGTACTATGTCCGCAGTCTCTGGTCATCTCCTGTAGTATGTCTGCAGTCTCTGGTCATCCCCTGTACTATGTCTGCAGTCTCTGACCATCTCCTGTACTATGTCTGCAGTCTTTGACCATCTCCTGTACTATATCTGCAGTCTCTGACCCTCCCCTGTAATAAGGGCAGTAACCTCTAGTAACCAATCAATGAGTGTGCACCAATTCTTTATGTTTATAGTATTAAAGGTTTATTTTAGATAAGTATGTGTGTGTGTTTATTTGTTTTTTGGGCTGTTGGGGTGGAGAGCAAAATTGTATGGGGGAGTCCAAAAAAATCTCACACTCTATTTAACTACACCCCTTTAAGCCATGCCCAATATTTAGAGTAATTTAAGCCACACCCATGTTTTGGTGCAGTGCACTTCGCGCACCTCCAAATCACTGGACCACACCCACAATTGATGCCCCACCCCTCACTTACATATATCTCCACCTACGCTGGCTTTCTGGACATACAATAAAATAGAGTGTCCCTAAAAATTTTTTGGAACTGTTGCCAACTATGGAAATGCTAATATCAAATGATAAATAACATTGTTATATTAGCAGCTAACATTAGAGGGCTGCAGATCCCTAAACTTCACAGGGGAATTTTGTTAATTCCCTAACAGGGTCACTTTAACTAGGCCCTCCCCAGTAGCAGTCACTAGAGTAGATGTTTACACAGGGCTATGGACCCCCAATTGACAGTTGTAATTAACCCAGCTCTTTTATATTATGTAAGTTAGATGCTCTTCCAACCAGTGGCGTCTCTAGGCAGCTGTGGGCCGAACCAGGTGACACCTACCGCACGGGGTGACACTGGACCTGCTCCATGAAAAGGTAAGTTGTAAAGCAAGCCGACGATCCCCGCAGATTGAGCATAATGGATTGGAGTCTGATCCATTATGCTCACCAATCCGCAGATCCTATCCAATCCTGCAGGAATCGTCAGCATGCAACCTATACAGGGTGACACCGGACCTGCTCCACGAAAAGGTAAGTTGTAAAGCAAGCCGACGATCTCCGCAGGATGGATCGGATCTGTGGATTGAGCATAATGGATCAGAGTCTGATCCATTATGCTCAATCCGCAGATCCCATCTATTCTGTGGGGAACGTCGGAGGGGGTGTCACCAAGTGTTACCGCACCGGGTGACCCCAACCCTAGGGACGCCTCTGCTTCCAACTAGTAGCCTTAAAGCAACAAATCGGAGTTCAAACATGTTATTATGAGGTACAATATATAAGTTTTACCAAAAGTGTGGTGTAATAGACAGATAACCTCATTGCTCCTCTGGGAGCTGGCCACCTCACCCCTTTGCTTCATCTCTCATTTTCTCTTCTTTCTTCTTTCTGTTCTTCCTGCCTTCTCTTTTCCTCAATTTTTCCTCTTTTTCTCCTTATATGCTCAGGACATGTGGTTATGGTCATCCATATATGTTCCATATGTTTTTGCCCACTGTTTGAAATGTTACACAACTCTAGATGGATTACGTACCTAGGGTACATACATTTTTTTGGGGGGGGATTGCACCCCCCTCATTACCCATCTTTCCTGATAGACCATTGCATTGTAATATCTTTGTATTTTTGTACTCTATTAAATACTCCGTTATCCATTTGTATGTACTGTATATGAATGGATAATCCAAATCTTTGTAACATTGAACTACTTGCATTTTTTGTTTGTTCTGTTCTCCACTCTTAAAAATAATTAAAAGAATAAATTGAATAAGAAAATTACAAGTGCGATGAAGCAGTATCATGCTGCCTCTGATGACGACGCATGTCAAAACATGTTAGGTAGAGCCACGCTCTGAGTGAAGTTCCCCGCTTTGACCCACAGGCCTGTGTTCGCGGCTGGAGCTGGCGACTTTACTTGTATATGCACATACCTCCATAGTGTCGAGCATGACACATGGCAATGTGAGTGTACCTATGATGGCTTTTATTATTAAATAATAGATTGTTTTACACTATGAAGCCTTCCCTTCTGTTTTTTTTACATGTTGGCAAATGGTCTGGAACTGTGAGAACCTTCCAAGCCCATTGAAGATGAAGTGATTCTAATAACCCATCATTGGCTGTTTAAAGATGCATAGTGCTCCAATAAAATTGAAAGTGGAGTGCATTGTGTATGATACCATTTAAAGGAACACATTTTTACTTTGTATTTTAAGTTGTGTTGAAAGAGTTGAGCCATTTACTTGAAGAGGTGAAGGACACTGGGTGCTTTGACATCACACTTTTATGCAAAGTGATTTATAGTACAAATTTATTTCACTATATATACCTTTTTGTTTTCTTCCACATATTGCACCTGATGGTGGACATTAGTTTATTTGGATTTAATAATAATCATTATGGACACATTGTGAACTGAGTTGCACATTATTTTGAAATATTTTGTTGGTACATTTATTTTGGTATTATTTTAACAACTTTTTTCTTGGTTTAGATAGTTTTGCACTTGAGAATTTGAGCGTGGTCACACACATATTTGTTTCTGTGATGAAGTATGGCTGATAAACCACAATAATCCTTATTTGTCCAAGGGACTTTTATTAAAGACCAGGGTACTAAAGAGAACTTTAGACAAACCAACTTACAACAGTTTGTACTAACTTTTAGTACCTGTGGATATTTAAATGTTAAAGAATCTGTAAAGCCGAAAAAGTAAAATTCATATTTGGCATGTTATTCTTTTCCTTACATTCCTTTTTTTTTATTTTGCAATTTTGTTTTTTTATGGTATTTGCAAAATTCCTCTTGGTTAGGTCTGAGTTTCAGGTTTACCCTGGTTATGGATTAAGCTGAATTCTAAATTCTACAGGTTTTAAATTCATGATCTTGGTGAACGGTTGTGCAGATTCACCTGAGACATTTTTTTAAAAACCCTAATACACTGAGTGGCCTTTGAACCATCCCCAGCAGAGTTTGAAGGGAAAGAAACAATTGACAAACTGCCTAGGGAGTGATTGGGGTCAGGTAGGAAGCAGTACTTTAACTCTGATTGCTAGCTCTATGGGCAGTCAAACCATTTTATGCTTTTTTTTTGGGGGGGGGGGGGGCATTTTCAATTTTGTTTTGTGTTTGATTTTATAACCTCAAAGCCATCCATAGTTCTGTCAACTAAATTTGGGGATTACTTAAAGAGGAGCATTTACTTGTTACTGCCCACCTGTTCATTAGACTGGTATTTGTTTGCAGCAAGCACAGAACCTATAGTAAATCCCCTCACATTATATCACACACATACAACTGCAAATCCTATTTCCATAGATAACATAAACGTTAGGCCTATTAATCCTGATTAAAACTGTCCTGCTGTTGTTCAGTTCTACATTGCTGCATCCTCTACAGCAGCCCTCAAAATTTCCACTCGTGCACTCGCATTGGGCGAGTAGAAATAAGGTGGGGACAAGCAGTGCCAGGACTAGGGGTGTGTGGGAGGGATGGCGGTGGGGGCAGTTACAAGGACCGATCTCCTGTATGACTTTCAATAAAGCAGCTGGAAGCTGTGGGAGGAAGAGGAGGAGAAGCAGCTTCACACCACCACCCCTTCCTTTCTTCCACTCCTCCCTTGCTTCCTTCTTTCCACCCCTCCCTTCTTTTCTTCCTTCCTTCCTCCACCCCTCACTCACTTCCTTCCACCCCTCACTCCCTTCCTTCCACCCCTTACTCCATTTCTCACTTTCTTCTTTCCACCCCTCCCTCCCTTCCACCCCCCCCCCCACTATTGTCCCTTCCTTCCACCCTTCCCTCCCTTTCTCCCTTTCTTCCTTCCACTCCTCCCTCCCTTTCTCCCTTTCTTCCTTCCATCCATTTCTTTTCTTCCTTCCTTACCTTCCCTTTCCTTCCTTCAATCTGCATAAAACATTTAACAGTGCCATTACACAAGATCATTTAAGAGTGCATGTTTAGGGGCGAAATTAGGGGTGGGTCAGGGTATAGGTTGGGTGGGGCAACTAGTTGCGAGTAACACTTAAGTCCTGGTAGTAGCTCAGAACTTTAATTTTTGAGCCCTGCTGTACAGTATCTAAATTCTTGTAATGAATCCAAAGCCTGTGCTCTTTTTCTTTAATAGATTTAGGCCTGTCCTTGCTATTTCCCTTATGAAAAATGCCCTGCTGCTGGAAAAGCGTGCAGTGCAGTCACTTAAATCCTAATAGGCGTTTGAAATGGCATATAGAGTAACTGTTTGATAAAAAAGCAATTGTAGCTGCTAAAGCTACTTTATTGTTTTACTGAAATGAATCAGATTGGGGTATTGCTACAGTATGTAAGCCAAACTAATTGCAGAAGAAAAAAATCCAAACCTTGTCAATGAAAATTGTATGGTTTCATAACACCATGGAGTTGATCTACTAAAACATGAGAGTGCAAATTCTGGTGCAGCTGTGCATGGTAGCCAATTGGCTTCTAACTATAGCTTGTCCAATTAAGCTTTGAGAAAAACAAAAAAAGGTTTTGCACTCTCCAGTTTGAATAAATCAACCCAACGTTACACACATGTGACATGCTGTGGCATTTGGTACCGCCCACAGCCCTGAGCACTCCTTAGCTGAGACCTGGATTATGGTCATTTGACTGCTGGAAAAAGGACATAAGTTATATAAAAAAGTGTTTATGCAATGATTTTGGTATTGATATTGATTGCAAATGTCAGGTTGATTGCGTACACTTTAAGTTTTTATTAGGGTTTAGGCTAACTATTAAAGGTTTAAGCAGGGAAAGGGTTAAGTTTTGTGGTTGCTTAAAAGTTTTGACCAGTTTTTTCACATAGTACAGTTAGGGGGGAAGCATGATTTGCTACACCTTCTCTTGATGTCAGATGCTGTACACTGAATACTGTTAATACTAAGCTAGTCATTTTAGTGTAAAAGTATGGAATAGAAATCTGCAGTTTATTTTGTTC